ATATAGTTTTTGCCTATTTCATCATACCAGTTACAGATAATGGTGGAGTATACCGATACACAACATAATCATAGAACAAAACCCCACATGTATCTAGGTTTGAAGAATATAAGATATTATCATCTTAAAATTACTCGTGACTATATAAATGAAGTAATCTCTAAGTACGGGTAGTTCCAATACTTAAGTATCCCTTAAGTACTCATGAGTGTTGGCGCAATCACTATGTTATGCCCAATTACTATGGTCAATCCACCAATTCTTAAGACAGTCTTAAATAACTACTTACTTCCAAGAGTATGACCAACTATGGAGGTTTGAGTAAATTAAACTTGGGAAGTGGGTTCTAAACATGCAAAAGTGAAACAGAAGAAGTTAACAGAAATGATAACATCACCAACACCTTATTAAGTCTTTACAAAATAAACATCGATTTGATTACAATTCATATTCTGAAATGTTTCAAGAAATAATCAAACTAACAACTAAACAATTACACCATATCATCAGTAAATCTAATGCCTATTGATCTAGTATAACTTTCATGCATGATCCTTGATAATGGATTCGTGAACAGATCGGTTGGATTATCCTCTGGCGACACTCTATTCACGATAATATCTCCATCCTCGACTTGCTTTCTCTCGTAGTGGTATTTACTGAGTATATGACTTAAGTTACAATGGTCTTTGGGTTCTTTAGCAAGAACTAATCACCCATTTAGTGGTATTTCCAAAGGATCCTTGATGCTCGGAATGGCAACAAGTAGAATATGTCATTGTCTTCTGATCGGAACTCTTCCAAGTAACTAATCACCCATTTAGCAAGAACACCCATCCTGATGGTGAACACGAATTATCTCTATTAGTCTGGAAACTTGCATCTGTATAACTAGTGACTCTTAACTTGTCTTTATCCCCATATACCCAGAGCATGTCCTTTTTTCTTTTTCGGTATTTTAGAATGTTCTTTACTGATGTCTAATGACCGTCACATGGGTTTTCCTAAAAGTGAGTCACCATGGTCAAAGCATACGAGACGTCAGGTCGACTACATATCATGGCATAAATGATCGATCCTATAGCAAAAGCATAAGGGATTCGACTCATTGTTTCATGTTCACCACTAGAACTAGGGCATTGAGTTTTAGTCAATTTTATGCCTTGTTGCATGCACATAAAACCTTTCTTGGAGTCTTGCATCTTAAATCTCTTTAATATCACATCCATGCATGTACTCTGGCTCAGTCCAATTAGACGTTTCGATCTTTCTATATATAACCTGATACCAAGTTTGTACGCGGCCTCTCCTAAATCCTTCATAGCGAAACAACTCCTAAGCCACGTCTTAACACCTTACAACGTCAAGATATCGTTTCCTATAAGGAGTATGTCATTCACATACAACACTAGAAATACTACTATACTCCTACTATCTTTGATGTGGATACAAGACACATCTTCAATTGTAGAAAATCCAAACTCTTCGACCATTTCATGAAAGCAAAGATTCTTGCTACGAGATGCCTATTTTAGTTCATATATGAACATTTCAAGCTTACACTCTAGTCGGATATTTTGGATCTATGAAACCCTCAGGTTGTGCCATGTATACATCTTCTACTAGTGTTCCATTGAGGAAAGCGGTTTTCAAATCCATTTGCCCTACTTTATAATCATAGATGGTTGTTATGGCAAGTAATATCCTAATAAATTTGATCTTGCTACTGGCGAGAAAGTTTCCATTTAATCAATCTGTTGAGTATCAGTATAACCTTTTGCAACAAGCCTATCCTTCAATATGTGCACATTCTGATCCATGAAAATCTTCTTCTTGAATATCCATTTGCACCCAAAAGTTTTAATTCCTGGTGTAGGATCAACCAAATTCCAAATATCGTTTTTATACATTGATTAAATCTTGCTCTCCATTCATTCCTTACACTCGGCAGCCCTAAGGCCTGTCATCGCTTCCTTATAGTTGGATGGCTCATCCATAACAACCAGTGTACGATCATTGATCAATATGTCTCCCTCTAAGGTAATATGGAATCCATAGAACTAACGAGGAAGACGAACTCTATTGGATTTGGGAAAGAGAAGTGGAGATATATCATTTTGTTCAACATTTTGTTCTGCCTTAGGTTAAGGTTCATCAACAGTTTGTTGTGCCTCAAGTTGAGTGCTTGTGTCAACTATAGGTTCTTCTTCATTGTGGTGTTCTAGGACGACACAATTGTGAAACGATTCCATAATTCTTAAGATGATCGTATAATTCAAGACTTACATATTCTCCACCCCTTTCAGATCGGAGCATCTTGATAATTCTAGCCAATTGGTTTTCTACTTCGTTTTGAAACTCTTTGATCACTTTGAAGTTTCTGAAGATCGCTCTGCTACTGATGTATTTTTACATCCCACAGCTTCGGAAGATCGCTTAGCCCCGTTCATCTTCGTCGCAAGAGCGCTCGATCATTGAGCTATTAAGCACTCTATCAAGGGTGGCTGCTTCTAGGCAAACCTCCTGGCTGTCTATGCACCCCTACCTCCTTTATCAATGAGCCATCATTTAGGGGCCTTACCTGGTGATCCGGGCTGTTTCCCTCTCGATGATGGAACTTATCTTCCATCGTGTCATTAGCTAACCTTGACCCCTGTTATTTTGAGGTCATATCTAGTATTCAATGTTTGCCTCGATTTGGTACCGCTCTCATGGCCCGCACCGAAACATTGCATTACCCCTAGACGTCCAGTCAACTACTGCGCCTCAACGCATTTCGGGGAGAACTGGCTAGCTCTTCGTTTGAGTGGCATTTCAACCCTAACCACAACTCATCCGCTGACTCTTCAACATCGGTTGGTTCAGACCTTGACTTAGTTTCACCCAAGCTTCATCCTGGTCATGCATAGATCACCCAAGTTCGGGTCCATAAGTAGTGACAATTGCCCTATGAAGACTCGTTTTCGCTATGGCTCCGGTGGGTACCTTAACCAACCTACTGCCTATGAGTCGCTGACTCATTCTTCAATAGCCATGCGGTCAGAGCCCCGGGCTCCTCCCACTGCTTAGTAGCTTACGGTTTCATGTTATATTTTGCTCCCCAATAGGGGTTCTTTTCACCCTTCCCTCATGGTACTTCTTCGCCATCAGTTACCCAGTAGTATTTAGCCTTGCAAGGTTATCCCTGCTGATTCACACGGGATTCCACATGCCCCATGCTACTCAGGTCAGAGCATAAGCTAGTGATGCTTTCGGCTACTGGACTTTCGCCATCAAGGGTGCACCATTCTACTGCTTCTCCTAGCAGCACGATGCTTGCATTGCTCTCCCACAATCCCATTTTCACGGTTTAGGATCCTCCCATTTCGCTCGCTGCTACTACGTGAATCGCTTTTGCTTTCTTTTCCTCTAGATACTAAGATGTTTCAGTTCGTCGGGTTGTCTCTTGCCTGCCCATGGATTCAACAGCAGTTTGAAAGGTTAAACTATTTGGGAATCTCCGGATCTATGCTTATTTTCAACTCCCCAAAGCATTCTGTTACTTACATCGCCCTTCCTCGTCTATGGGTGCCTAGGTATCCACTGTAAGACTTTCCTCGTTTGAACCTTGCCCTTAATTTTAATGTTATGCCATCCTAATGTGCCTCTAAATGGATGGATCTTATCAACGTCCATGAATGATAAATCATAGATCAAACCGCCAAATCGGAAAAATTGGGTGCTGTCATATAGATTTCTATCGGCTAAGTTCACGAGTTGGAGATAAGCGAACTCGGACCGCTGACATCCACCGCAAGGTAAACCACCGCCTCTCAGGTCCCCTGACTGATTCTACCATAGAGGCTAACAATAGACAATAACTCCCCCTTGAACACAGCTTATAACTTTCATCGTAGTGTGCTCTCTAAAGAGCAACTCTTCTCAAAATCTCACTCAAAAGGTGTTGAGTTGGAATCCCATTCTATCTAAGGATTCTTGCTGTTCCGGAGGATCCAGCTATAGGAAACCGGGAACGGAGAGCTTTCCCCCCTTTTTCGCCGACTCTTTGGCCTTAAGAACGCTAGTTTTAAGAATGAGCGATTGCCTTTCTCCGACCCTTACTGCCCAACCTGAGAGCGGACATCTAATGCATTCCAATTATTGAACAGGGTTCTATGGTCGTTCTGTGACCCCTGGATGTCGTATGTGTCCTTGGGGTAATCTCCTAGTTCCTACGGGGTGGAGATGATGGGGTCGGTCCATGGATTTTCCTTCCTTTTGCCACATTTTGCTCAAACGTTATGGGAGATAATTTATCAAGTTGCTTGCAAGGGCCAACTTGATCCTCTTCCCCAGGGATCCCGATAAGGGAACCCTAGGAGAGCCGCCGACTCCAACTACGATCCATGTAGGATCCATAATAAATCTGTCCAACTACCCATCCTACCTCCTCTACGTTCTTGACGTTATTGACAACACATCTTTATCTCAGTAGAGTCCTTCAGTGGCATGTTTCGGTCCTCCTCCCTATTACTTACAAAAAGTGAGCCACCGATTCAGGTACAAGATACTATCATTACCGTCTGGACAATTAGACATCCAACCTGTAATCACAACGACCCAGTTGCAAGAGTGGAGCTCTACCAACTGAGTTATATCCCCCCGAGCTAAGTGCAACATGCATGAACGATTCATACACTTCTTCTATTCTTCTCCCTAATGCAGTTGGACCATCCTTGACTTGAACTAGAGACCTCGCTCGTGAAGTAAATCATCGCACCTACGGTCCAACCAATTAGAAGAGAATCAATAGATTCCTTTTCGGGAGCAATTCATCCTTCCCGAACATAGTAGTTGACTGGATATCTAGGGGAAAGCACTGTTTTGGTGCGGGCCGCAAGAGCGGTACCAAATCGAGGCAAACTCTGAATACTAGATATGACCTCAAAATAATAGGGGTCAAGGTTGGCCAGTGAGACGATGGGGAATAATCTTCATCGTCGAGAGGGAAACATCCTGGATCACCAACTAAGGCCCCTAAATGATCGCCCAGTGATAAAGGCGGTAGCGGTGCAGAGACAGCCAACGGGTTTTCCTAGAAGCTGCCGCCCTTGAAAGAGTGCATAATAGCTCACTGATCGAGCGCTCTTGCACCGAAGATGAACGGGGCTAATAATATGCCGATGCTGTGGGATGTAAAATACATCAGTAGGGAAGCATTCCGCCTTAGAGTGAAGCACCTGCGCGAGCGGTAGTGGACGAAGCGGAAGAGAGAATGTCAGCTTGAGTAACACAAACATTGGTGAGAATCCAATGCCCCGAAAACCTAAGGGTTCCTCTGCAAGGTTCGTCCACGGAGGGTGAGTCAGGGCCTAAGATCAGGCTGAAAGGTGTAGTCGGTGGGCAAAAGGTAAATATTCATGTACTACACCTTGTTGGTCCCGAGGGACTGAGGAGACTAGGTTACCCGAAAGTTGGTTATCGATTCAAGGATGTAACGTGACCCTGCTTTTTCAGGGTAAGTAGGGGTAGAGAAAATGCCTCGAGCCATTGTTCAAGTACCAGGCGTTACGATGCTGAAGTAACTGATGGCGTACTCCTACTAAAAGCTCGAACAACCTTCAACAAAAGGGTACTTGTACCCGAAACTGACACGGGTGGGTAGGTAGAGAATACCAAGGGGTAGGAGACAACTCTCTCTAAGGAACTCGACAAAATAGCCGAGTAACTTTGGGAGAAGGGGTGCCTCTTCAAAAAGGGGGTCGCAGTGACCAGGCCCGGGCGACTGTTTACCAAAAACACATGTCTCCGCAAAGTCGTAAGCCCATGTATGGGGGTGACGCATGCCCATTGTCAGATGGTCTAGGAACTTGGTGACCTGATGACAGGGGAGCCGACGACCGAAGCCCCGGTGAACAGTGGTCATAACTATAACGGTCATAAGGTAGTGAAAATGCTTTTCGGGTAAGTTCCGACCCGCACGAAAGGCATAATGATCTGGGCACATTCTCGGAGAGAGACTTGGTGAAATAGACATGTCTGTGAAGATGCGCACTACCTGCACCTGGACAGAAAGACCCTATGAAGCTTCACTCTTCCCTGGGATTGGCTTTGGCCTTTTCCTGTGCATCTTAGGTGGAAGGCAAAGAAGGCCTCCTTCTGGGTGGGGGGTCTGAGCCATCAGTGAGATACTACTCTGGAATAGGTAGAATTCTAACCTTCTGTCCGGACGTACGGGCCAAGGGACAGTCTCAGGTAGACAGTTTTTATGGGTGTAGGCCTCCCAAAAGGTAACAGAGGAGTGCAAAGCTTTGCTCGGGCCAGACGGAGATTGGCCCTCAAGTGCAAATGCAGAAGGGAGTTTAACTACAAGACCCCCCCATCGAGCAGGGATGAAAGTCGGCCTTAGTGATCCGACGGTGCCAAGTGGAAGGGTCGTTGCTCAATGGATAAAAGTTAGTCTATGGATAACATGTTGATCTTCCTCAAGAGCTCACATCGATGGGAAGGATTGGCACCTCGATGTAGGCTCTTCACCACCTGGGGCTGTAGTATGTTCCAAGGGTTCGGTTGTTCGCCCATAAAGCGGTACATGAGCTGGGTTCAGAACGTCGTGAGACAGTTCGGTCAATATCTCGTGTGTGTGTTAGAGCATTGAGAGGACCTTTCCCTAGTAAGAGAGGACCGGAAAGGACGCACCTTTGGTGTACCAGTTATCGTGCCCACGATAAACGTTGGATAGCCAAGTGCGGAGCGGATAACTGTTGAAAGCATCTAAGTAGCAAGCACACCCAAAGATAACTGCTCTCCTATTCCGACTTCCCCAAAGCCTCCAGTAGCACAGTCGAGACATCGACGGGTTCTTTTCCCCTTGTGGGGATTAAACAACATAAGTTTTTGTTGGATTAGTATCTAAGCCCATAACTATTTTGGTATGTACTTGACCCGATTGCGAGCATGGTCCTTTTGGGTTGCCTTCACCAAAGCAACTTGATAGGATGATTTATGGAGAAAGAGGTTAATTATGATTTATTAATATATTATATGAATAATATATTAAAAGAGAAATCATATTTTTTAATTAATATTATCGGTCAAGAATTAATGAGAATTAATTTTGTGGCTAAAAGACATTAATTAAATAAAGGGGACTAGAATTGTCAATTGTGTGATAGTTAAATATTGGGCTAATGGACTCCATAGAGGATGGAGTGGACGAAATCTATGGGGAAACCCATAAGAATTCGTCCAAGGCCTCTAAGGAGGGAGTCTATGGGCTGCTTAGGGCCTAAGCAGTCAGATTAGGGTTTCCTAGTTCAAAACCCTAATAGCCTCACATATATAAGGACCCCAAGGGCACCAAAAACGTGGCTAAGCATTCCTTAGGGTTCTTGGACGTTTTTTGGTGCCTCCTTATCTTCTCCTAAGTCATCCTCTTGCTCTTGTTGTTTGTGATCCATTAGAGGTGTGACACTTGTGACACTAAGCTTTCAGAAGCCAATTACAAGGAGGAATTGAGATTGTTATTGCTACATAACAATCAAGGAAGATCTAAACACTAATTCATATGTTAATTCCATTATTGTATGATAGATCTATGATTTATGGCTTTGGATGATTATTGCATGTTCATTAGAAAAACTAGATCCAAAGCCTTAGGGTTTGCATGTACATCAGAGGAGTGATGTAGTGCTCAAAACCCATCAGTGGTATCAAAGACTAGGCTATTTGTTTCATGTATTTGATGCTTAATTGGTCATTGCTTGCTTGAAAATTGTTTTTTGGGTTTTCTGTCTGATGAACTCAACGAGTTCCATTGGGAACTCGACAAGTTGGATGAACTCGACGAGTTTAACTGTCAGACAGAAAGATTTGCGGGATTTTGACCTGTTTTGGCTGAGGATAAGGGGGTATAAGGTTATGGCCTATAAAATAGTCGTTTAATGGGTGTCCACTCTCACCCACCGCTTCCTTGATTGGTGGAGGGTCGTTAGCCGAACGGGTAGCATAGGGCAAACCCTCTCCTCATTAAAAGTATAATGAATAATAAAGTAACTGAATGTTTTACAAAAATTCCCAATCTTAGTTACTTTAGGCAAAAGTGAATTGATGCAATTCCATGAAATTACACTTTGTACCCTTGCTAAGACGTTAGTGGAGCGTGTGTGGTTAACCGGCACACTAATTAAGTTCTAAGCAAAGGTGGAAAAGGGTGACTCGATATTTGTCACAGTTCGTTGGAGCGTGTGTGGTTAACCGGCACATCGAATAGGTGGCTGTAACATTGGGGGCACCATGTATATTTGCATGGTTATTCACACCCTGTTTTGTGATCCTCGGCATCCCAGTCACAAATCGAGGGGCATATCGAGATTTAAACATGCCATTGAAAAGTTCAATGAATCTCAAAGGATCTAGGAGTTTTCAATACATTTAAAACTTAACCTTCTTTTCGTTTTTCATGGTGGAAATTGGTAAATCGTCATTTACCTACCTTCAAATGTTCTGCAAGTTGGATTATGGCATCCCTCTTCCAATTTGTAGGATATTGTGTTGGGTCCTAGCCTTAATATCTCATTTGGGTGTTTTATTAAGGACTCAATCAACTAAACTTGAAATTTCTCCCGTTTGTAGATGTCAAAGTCTGACAACTATGGTCTTCCTAAATCCGTTGGAAAAAGTTTTCCACGTGAAGATGATATTCCACGATTGGATTGTGGAAAAGGAAATCCTGCTTCACTTCCACCTTCTCCAATAATTCTCCCTTACCCACGTGTTCGAAGACTTGAAAAGTTCAAGGTCACTCAAGCCCTATTGGCAAAAAGACACGAAAATGGAAAGTCTGTATGTGCTCATGTCTTGGATATGAAGTTACATATTTATAGATTGGGAATGTAGGGTGTCGATGTTTAAAGGAAGTTGGTTGTTGGCTTGGTTCTTTAGTCACTTCCCGAATCATATGGTAAGTTCATTAGAGAGTACTATATGATGGACCACGACATGACCCTCATTGATTTGACTTATTCGCTTATTGCTGCTGAATCAGAAATGATTTGGCGCACTGGTCGAGCAAATTTGTCTGATAAATCAATGTCCCAACCTTCTATGGGCAATGGCAACATTGGAAGTCAAGAAAAGTTTTCTCTACGCAAGAGAAAGGCTGAGTCTGAGATAGTCACGTGTACCATTCCATAAGAATCCATGTGTTTCTACTGCCAAAAGAAGGGGAATTGGTTACGAAGCTTCCCTCACTACCTAAGACATCTAAGAGATGGGAGAGTCAAGATGTATGACTCTACTTTAGGGAATATCCACTATCTAACTCTATTAAGTTCCTATTTGGAGATTCTTAATACATGATGTGATAAGATTACATTTCGATGTTTTGAAGGATCGAAGAAAGGAAAGGAAGCTTAAAGGAAGGAGCGAGCTGAGTCTGATCGCAAAGAAATGGATTACGATCGCATGGATCCGATGATTGGATTTTGACCTGCTGCTTAGAGTTATGATAGATTGCTTAGAAATATGTAATAGCATAGTTTTCATTTGCATTGTAAGGATATATTTTTCCGCAATAAAATAAATTTTGATTTTCTCTTATTTATATTTCCTTGCAATGGCAATTGTGAAAATTGATGTTTGTGTGTTTCTATTATAAGCAATATTAAGTGGATGTGATCTTAGTTATGTTATTTGTGGTAGTGTCGTAATTTTCTAAGTAAGGAAAGATTCCCATCGCCCAAGTTTCAATTGGACAGAAGCTTGGAATCATATGATTTGAATCATGTGATGTATGGAAATCTTGGTACTGAGAAATTTTAAGGCTAATACCTTGACAAAGAGTCGAGTAAAGGACTAGGAGATCGAGTTCACAATGTTGTGCACTGGTCAAGTCCACCATAAATAACAACAAGATTATTCATCATGATTTACTAAAAGTCTAGTAGACATGATTATGCTTACAAGATTTAGTGTAATTCTGAATCATCGAAAGTGTCAATGAATGGCAGAACGAATAAGAAGAATCAATTAGGCAGAAAGATAAAAGTTTCTCCAATCTAAGAACAAGGGAGAGTACTTTTGTATCATGTTTTATGATCGTCTTAAGAACCATATTACAATTCATCCTCTAAGGACACCTTAATGCACTAGTATGGCTAAGAAGAGGAGTCGGGAACTGTCAAAATGGGTTAAGTCAATAAGATGAATCGTACTTCATTCCAAAATCAAGTCTTAAAGTCAAACTCCAAGATTGTGACTTGAGTGATATAATCATAAGTAGGAATGTTCTTACTGTTGCACATTTTGGTAAGTTGTGATGTCTTGAATAAGACAAAGACCAACTAGTACCAAATTGGGTGTAGGTTTTGTCTTGATATAGACACACACTAACTCTTGAATATTTGTTTTGTCAAGAAATGTTTATTGATAAGAGAATCTAATATGTCAAGAGGTCAGTGGGAGTCTTAAGGGTCTTGAATAGCTTCAAGAACTAATCAAGAGTAAAACTATTATTAAACACTAGCACACGACTTGAGGTTTCTAACCTATCGTGTTAACATATTCTTGTTTTTATGCCATTCCAGTTTGGTCAACTGTGCATGTGAGTTCTATGAGTTCTCAATGGGTTGCATAGGGGCAAGGCACCTTCATCAATGGAAAGTACATTGATATGTAGGGGTGAGCTGATCAATAACTTGGAAGCAATGGTAGGACCCTTGATGGAAAGAAATTAAGAATGAACGAGTTCTGTCCATAAGAGTTTAGATTTGTCACAAACATTGTCTTATGATTATGGTTATGACAAATTCACATGGATAAGAACACATACACCATAAAATCTAAGAGTCATAAGGTTTCTCTCTTTCATGAAAATGATTGTGAGGAAATGCTTTCACTAAGAGAGATTTTAAAGATAGCATTATGTAATTTTCATTTCTCGAATTCGATTATGACTACGGCATCCCTCTTCATAGTTCGAATTGTGGGAAATGGAAAATGGGTCTGAACATTTTAGACTTATTGTTATAAGTTCTAGAATTGTTTAGACACAGATATGAGCTATCTAAAGAAAAGTGTAGAAGCTTAGATAAAGTTTTATCATAGAATCTTGTATTAGAAATATGAACTTTGGAATTCAATAAGTATTGATTTATAGAAGTCCAGCTAATTTCTAAATACATGTCAAAGCTAGTGGGAGCATAAATGTTATGCTAGTAAGGAGATAATCATCATGATAGTGGGAGCATGATTGTTATTTTAAGTGTTGCAAGTTAGCAATATTAATTATAGAAAACAAAATTTTCAATTTGCAAAGTTGCAAAAGTTGAAAAGTTGTTTTGTTATAATTAAGGGAGAGAATATTATACATCGTTTCGAAATGTAAGAGCTTAGATCGAGAGATTTTAATAAAATCTAGTCAAATATATGAATTTTCTTCTCAAAATTTGATTATGATTACGGCATCCCTTTTCATAGTTCGAATTGTGAGAACATGGCAAATAGAAATATTATGGCAAAAGACTGGTAAAGTATCATGTCTTTATGTAAGACATTATGCATCGTGTTCCATACACTTCGGGTGTAGGATCGATCGCATATGCTATATTATTTGGCCGTTCTAAAATTTTCCAAATGCCTAGGGCATTAAGAGGGAAAAAGGACTAGAACCGGACATGACTAAATTAATTAAACAACTATCAAGAGGACAATCTAAGGATCGCCAAGGATTGGTCACTTATGAGCAGTTGGAAGTATAGTAACAAATGGACCATACTGACATTATTATTATTAGATATGATTCTATTAATAATGAGTTGTCATATGGCAAATATGGAAATGTTTCCATGTTGG